ATATCTGACTCTTTGTGACCCTATTTGAGATTTTCTTGGTATAGATACTGAAGTGGTTTACCATTTCCTTGCTTTGCCTAGATGGCCCAGAGATAGACTGTAGTGGAGCTGACTTGTTTCCTGTGCAGTCTTTATTCACAGGCCCTAGAAATAAACTGGGGCCACAGAGCAAAACTGAGAAAGGAAGATGATGAAGAATCAGGATACATATTCTTCCCCTCAGATCACCCACAAATCAGGGTTACAGCCTAGATATTGGGCCTTCTGCTTTGCCCTCTCATCTTCCCATAGTCCTCTGGAGAGAACTATTTCATATTTGCAGTGAAGCCCTTGACTTGTAAAATGCTTATAGACTGGAAAAGGCCGCTTTCTATGACCACAAGGACTCAACAAGTAACTGTTTCTTTCTAGACTGATTGATTGATTTGCAAGCTGGCCATCACTGAGGGAGGCGAGATTTTGGGGTGAATTTCATTGAGGTTGTAATGACAAGTTTGGGGGTGAAAGAGTTTGGCCCATTGGTAAAAGAAGACCCTGGCTTTCAGGACTCCTGCTCACATTTAGCTTTTTTCTTTCCACTAACCCACTGTGTGTTGGGCACAGATTTGCTCCCTCCCAACAGTGTCAGGAGACCTCATTAATATCGGTAAAGTGCTTGGAGTCTTACAGGCCAGAACCATCCTCTATGTGCAAGACATTCAGATGAATTATTTTTGGTTTCAATATAGAGTGAAAGTCCTTTGGGGAGGACATTTGTTTTCTCCAAGTGAGTTTTCTTCAACCCTAAATTTACCTCATTTGTGTCCCCCTATGTTATGGTACTTTTGACGAAATATGAGATTCCAGGGTACACTGAGGTTTGATTTTTTTGGTTATATATGACATAGAATCAGTGATTAAAAAAGGTGAACTGTTTTTTCTCTACATCCCTTTACAAAATGTATTTATTCATGGGCTACATTTCACAGTTCTAGGCAATGTTATCTAAGACTTCATTGCCTCCAATCTTCCATCTCTTTGACCTCCATGTAGTTGCTAGACTGCAGAAATTCACCAATGCTTGTTGACAACAAAGAATTTTAAATCCACCCACCATTCGATCTATCTTCATGGTGTCTGAATATATCTTTCTCACTCAACACCCTACAAAGTAGAATTCCTTTGATTTTACTCACCTTTGACATTTTTTCAACGTTCAAAGTTGTTTAAATGTGTACTTTCCCAGAGGTGAATACTTGTTCCTTTTCTTTTTCAATATTCTCCCCCATGCTAGTCTCACTCAGTCCCACAGCATCAGCGACCTCTTCTTTTCCAACGATGCCTAAATCTCTGTATCTAGCTCTAACCTCATTTTTGAACTTCAGAGTGCCTAGATTCCTATATCCCTAGCTTCTAGGAGAATGGGGTTCTAAGTCTCCTTCATTAAGGATCAATACCAAGGGAATAAGGAGACACCCCCAGAACTGCTTCCTTTGTAAGATTTAACATCCTAAGACTGCTAGAGGGATGAATGGTTTCACCATTAGTATTTATAGTCTTAGCACTTGGCACAGTCTCTGGCACATAGAAAGTGCTTAATACATGCTTGCTGGAAATGGAGCTTTCTTAGATCCTTCCACCCCCAAATCAATAATACTTTCTTCCCTCGTATCTCACAGCACTTTGTTTTGCAATTTTCTGATGACTTCATTGTATCATGAATGTTATTGTCATCTATTTTCACATCTTGTTGTTTGTCCTTTGGTTTAAAAGACCAATAACATCATGGGATGATGTCTTCAGCAGTAGGTGAATTGGACTTAAATAAGACGGAGGTGCACAAAGTCATCAGCCTCATTCTCTCCTCCACAGTCAGTGAAGTTCAGTGGCAAAACAAAAGTTAGGATGAGGGCCATGGACCGGGACACAATAGATGACCTTCGCATCTTTGATGTCTGACCAAGCTCTAAACATTCCACAGTGCCAGTTTCAGCCACCTTCACGTCAGTTGGAACAAATTGTTCTCGTCTGACTATTCTGCTGGAGGAAATCTTCACATGCATGGGGTAGACATCTGTCTAACTCACTGATGGGTTAGAGGCCTGTCAGTTACCCTCAACCTGCCATGACAGTTTTACTGTTGTGTGGCCTCTGCACATGTTACAGCTTTTTGGAACCACAGGTAAGAGTTGGATGAATCAGAAAGACACCAAAGGTGGGTGAGCAGCCCTTAAATGGGCTCAGCAAGCCTTCGCAGCAGAGGTCCTAGTCCTCCTAAACATGTATACCCCTCATGTATTAATCCCCTTCTAGACTACAATCTCTATGAAAATTTATACATAATCTAAACTTTAAAAAAAAAATCTCAGTGCCTAGCACAGAGCTCTGCTCATAGTAGGTACTTAATATTTGATGGATGCACAAATGCTTTAAATGTTTTCTTATTCTGTAAGTTTCTAAAGAAGAGACTATACTTTTAAAATTTGATTTAAATATTATTTATCGTAGAACCATATGCTTACTAAATTTTTGATGATGATGTTGATGATGGCCACCTTTTTTTTCCTGTTATTTTTCGCAAGTGAAGACTTTGATCTTACAACTTGTCCAGACCACATGACATTTTGAGGCACCATACACTAATTTCAGTACTTAGAGGACAAATAATTATCTTCTTGAGATGTGTATTTGTACACTTAAATTCAGACTCATCACAGGAATATTCCACCCTCTGCGGTTTCCCCTGAAAAGTCCCATCTGAATTACTGCATATACTATCCTTTGTTTAGATCAAAGTAGATAGAAAGGACATTTTGAAATACAAAAAGAAATTAATGGCTAGTAGTATAAGCTCCTAGACAATTTATGGCATCAGTTTATAAAATCTAATACCAAATAATTCATCTTCTCTAATTACTTAAGAACTTCTGGGAAAAAAGTTTATATTACATAAAACTTTCTGACTATGTACTTGAACTATTCTAAACCGTACCGCTAGAGAGATTTGCTAAGACAGTCCACTAATTAGTAGGTGGCACAGTAGATATAGTTCCAGGCCTGGAATCAGGAAGATCTGAGTTTAAATCTGGCCTCAGACACTTAATAGCTATGTGACCCTGGGCAGGTTACTTAACTTTGTTTGCCTCAGTTTCCTCATTTGTAAAATGAGCTGGAGAAGGAAATGACAGACTACTCCAGAGTCTTTGCCAAGAAAACCCCAAATGGGGTCACAAAGAGTCAGATACAGCTGAAATGCCTGGACAATAACAAAGGACAGAGAATGGATAGAGTAGAATAGGAAGTAGGAGGGCATATTGTGGATAGAATGGTGGCTTAGAAGTCAGAAAGACTTGGGTTCAGATTCAGTCTCTGATACTAGCTGTGTGACAATATCAAGTTATTGAGTCATTCTGAGCCTTAGTTTCTTCATCTGTAAAATGAAAATAACTAATAATACATGAAGGCTCTGCTTGACAAGATTATTAGGAGGATCATGGAAGATGATGTACATTTTTTTAAAAAGCTTAATTTTCATCTCCAGGCTTCTCTATTGAGAAGCTAGATGGTGCAGTGGATAGAGTACTGGACTTTGAATCAGGAAGTCTCATTTTCATGAGTTCAAATCTAGCCTCAGATTCTCACTAGCTGTCTGACCCTGGGCAAGTCAATTCCTCATCTGTAAAAAAGAGCTAGAGGAGGAAATGACTAAAATGGAAATGGAGGAAAAGAGAAAATGTGTTGTAAGAGAAAGCAGGAGCATATGATACTGGGATCCCATCCTGGCCAATGATTTTCCCAACTCTGACTGAGTTCAGAAGAACCACAAAGTTATAAAGTGTGGAATATGGGAGCTGACAGGGACTTTGGAGCTCCTTTTATGGAAAGTTTTCCTTGTACTCAGAAAAGATCCTAGGCAAAGTTTACACTACTAAATGAAAAGTGGCAAGTGGAATTCCTCCCCATGCGCCAGTTTCAGAGCTTTTTAAAACTGTTGAAAGAATTTCTCCCATGTAACACCGTGAGCAATAGCATTTTGGTCCCATGTCAGTGCTGAAGGCATTGATATAGATAGGCCCTTCATGGATGGATGGGTAACTTGATGGAACACACTGAGCTCTCAGGAGAAAATGGAGGCTAGAACTGAGTCATACAATTCTTTGCATGTATAGAATGTCATTCCTTCTAAGATCATAAAGTTATTTTCTTTCAAATCTGTGTTATCTGAATGAGGTAGTGAATTGTGGTGGAGCCCATAAAAGACTTAGAATCAGGAGACTTAGGTTCAAATCCTATCTCTGATACCTATTACCTGTATGACCCACGAGCAAGTCATTTGCCTTGTCTAAGCTTCAGAGAGGAAAGCATTTATAGAAACATGAGTTATTATTATCTCATTTATCTCAACAACAATTCCTCCTGTAGAGCTGGTTGGAGTAGTCACTGCTACCCCCCATTGTCTATATATTGATAGTATTTACATTCCTCACTATTTTCTGCATGTTTGATATAGTATGTAATAATAGTAGCTAGCTTTTGTATAGCACTTTAAAGTTTACAAAACACGTCATTTTATTTGATCCTCACAACAACCCTGAAAAGGCAGGTGCTGTTATTGTCCCCATTTTACGGATAAGGAAACTGAGGCTGAGGGAAGTTAAGTGACTTATGTAGGATCACTCAGCTAGCAAGTGTCCAGGAAGGGGGGCAGGATTCAAACTCAGGTACTCCTGACCCCAAGTTCCAGTGGTCTATTTCCCATGTCACCTAATAGGTTCTATGTTTCATCTATTGATGTCAAGGCTGGAAGTCATTAAAAAAATAGCATCTATCATCCCAGATTCTAGGAGAGCAAGGTTGTGATGTTCATAATCCCTTCCTTGGAAAGGGCTACAAATTATGAATAGGGGAGCCTAAAGAGCCCGAGCGTCTCCCTCCCAGGATATGGCTGCTGTTTGTTTCCGTCCCCCATCACGTGGTTGTGGTTTGGCCCCAGCTCCTTTTGATGACAGTTCATGCAATCATGCATTAGCTAAGTTGCTGTGGGTGAGCCGTCCAGCCCAGCTGGGCAGCCGGGATGGCCTTTGGTTCTAGGATCCTGAAGATTCTTCTTTTCTTAAGTAAGTATCTGCAGAAGCAGCATCAGCAGCAGTCTCACCCGCCCCCTCTGCAGCAGGTTAAGTTTTCCAGAAGTCCACCTGATTTTTGCAGTTTTGCTTTGAATTCTACATCAGTCCAGTTTCCTGCTATTTACAGAGAAAGGCTCTTGGTGTGACTTGACTGAGGTATGGCTGTGTTAACTTGATGAAGAGAAGGTAGGTGAGTATGGAGGGTATGTGACTCTTCACAGGGGTGAAGGGAAAGTTGGATGTCTGTCCTCATTTATGACTTCTGAAGCTCTGGATTGATATGCATATGTATTAATAATATTCTGTTTTTTCTTCTAATTTAAACCTGAGCTGCCAAATAAAGAAGCCAAGGTTGTTATGAGGTTCTGTTTCACACTTAGGAGCTTTAGGGAGCTGTGCAATGCCCTTAGTTACCCAGAGGCTTCTTTTTCATGAGCAGTTTCTCCTTTCTGATGGAGTATGTACCAACCAATTGGAAAACTAGTTTTACTGAAATAGAATGGCTTTTTAAAAATAGATTTATAGATTATTAGGTCTGAAAAGGACCCAGTGGAAGAGTTTTAACATGGAAGGGTGACTGGGACTTTGCCCCAGGATAGGATATTTAGAAGGTACAAAAATTTAACTCATGCACTCCTACAAAGTAGAAGTTCCTTCTTTCTCCTTCTTTCCTTCCTTCCTTCCTTTTTTCCTTCCTTTATATCTTTGTTTCTTTCTCTTTCTTTCTGTTTGTTTGTTTCTTCCTTTCCTAGGTCTCCCTGTCTTATCCAGGCTCAAAAAACACTGATTAGCATTCAAGCTTTTAACCTTCCCTGTTCTTCCAACATGGGTAAGTTCACTCCTCCTCAGGCAGTATGGTGGTCTTTCACTCTCAAGGGCTCACCATATTGGTTTTGGAATTAGTGTAGACATCTAATTGCTGTAGCCCACTGAAGCTCAGGATTCTTGAACTAGAGGAATCCTCCAGTCTCAGTTTCCTAAGTATTGGGGACTACAGACATGCACCAGCACACTAAAGCTCTACTTCTTTCTATTTCACCAAGTACCTCAAGATACTGTGGAAGAAGGGTGCTATCTCAGTACTGGGTAAGAAAGTAGGGGGAGGAAATCTCTTCTTACCCAGTACCAGCACCCTAGGACCAAGGCCTGATCACCTTATCTTAGTTACAGCTTTGGTTCTAAGATTCTGTCAGTGCCTGCCTGGTTCAAATCCTTATACTACCTCTTGCTGGCTGTGTGACCTTAGATAAGTCACATTACTTCTCTAGGCCTCAGGACCAGAGAAGAGAAGATATGGGTTCCTGTCAGGTGTGAGGAGAGCAGGTGGCATCTTGTTTGTTCCCCTCCTCTGTTCCATAAAGAAATCCTTAACTGATCCTGACCCTTACTATCCCCTGCCTAAGGCTTTACTTTCCTCCTCTTTCTTTCCAGAAACAATAAACAACAACAATAACGTATCATCTCTTTTGCAACTTCTTTGTGAACATGAAAACTCACTATATGGTATAAGTCATAATCTCGTTTCTACTTTCTGTCCTGGACGCTGTGTGGGAGGGAGACTTTCTGAAGCTGATCTGCTTGTGCAGAAAGCAAACAGGAACTGAAATCCCATGGGCTGGATGAAATGACCTCTGAGATGCCTTCCAACTCTTAGAATTCATTGACTAAACCACTATAATAACCATTCCCACCCAACCCCCCCCCCATTCAACTGAATTTTTCTTAATAACTTTTGATGTTATTTTCACATCATAAATTATAAAGTTGATTTCTGGGCACAAGTTTGCCCTAGTTGGTGATGCTGCTCTTTGTTCCAAAAGTATTGTAGTTCTGCCTTGGAAAGCGTCTGATCAAACTTCACCGTCTTTTAGGAAACTGAGGTCCAAGGCGGCTAAGGATCTCACAAGCTGTTGTGATGGAGCTGAGATTCGAACCTTGATATTCCAATATGTAGTCGAGTCTTTTTTCCCACTTTTCCGCTCAGCTGTTCTTTCATAACTTGTCAACTATGAGCATAAGACAGAGGATTCAATGCTGGAGGACTCCTCATTGACCCTCTAATCTAATCCCCCTCATCTTACAGATGAGAGAGTCCAGCAAAGTTAAGAGGCTGCCTAAAGTCACACAGATAGTCTGTGCAGCCATGTATGACCCTTTCTGACCCTTTTGGGGTTTTCTTGGCAAAGATACTGAAGTGGTTTGCTGTTTCCATCTCCAGCTCCTTTTACAGAGTAGGAAACTAAGGCAAACCGGGTTAAGTGACTTCCCGAGGGTGGCACAGCTAATAAGTGCCTGAGGTCTGATTTGAACTCAGGTTTTCTTGACTCTAGGCCCTGTACTCTACCCACTGTGCCACTTAGTTGCCCCCTGGAGCTCTCTATATCAATAAAAATCATAGGACCTATCCCAATTCTGTGTGCATAAACCAGGTTAAGCAAAAAGAAAAAATATAGGGGCAGCTAGGTGGTGCAGTGGATAGAGCACTGGCCCTGGAGTCAGGAGGACCTGAGTTCAAATCCGACCTCAGATGCATAACATTCACTAGCTGTGTGACTCTGGGCAAGTCACTGAACCCCCATTGCCTCACCAAAATAAATAAGTAAATAAATAAATGAGTAAATAAATAAATAAAATAACAAAAACTGGCTGAATTCAGTTAAAAACAACTTAGAAGCCCCACCCCTTCCATAATATATCAGATTCAAAGGTTTTTTTTCTTTTAATGCAACTATTCTTTTAATGTAATTAGTCTATGACTCTTTTTTTAAATTTTAGGGAAATAAAATAAAACTTAATTTTTAAACAGGTTTAAATGTGATGAAATAGTCTTGAAAGACCTGGAGGAGGAGTGTAAAGATAGAGATTGAGCAGTTGGTACAGTGTCCTAGGTTCAAGAAATAATAATAACACCAATAACAATAGCAGCAACGGCAGCAAACATTTATATAGTACATCAAGGTATGCAAAGCATTTACGTGCCTCATCTTATGTGATCTTCCACCAGGGAGTTATGTGCTGTTACAACTCCCATTTTATAAATGAGGAAACTGAGGCTCAGATAGGTGTGAAGGAACTTCATATGAAGGCATGAGGTAACAGAGAAATTAAGAGGAGATTGAGGAAATTGGTATGGCCCTGAAAGTTAGACAGAAGACAGGGCTTAGCCTTTGTGGTTCTGCAGTTGGACGTTTTGGGGATTTGGTTGGGTAGTGAGGGCTGCCTGTTGATTTGCTGAGTGGGTAAGCTTCCACTTCCTATCTCAGTTTTTCCATCTGTAATATGGGTAGGCATGCCTACATGCAGCAAGGTGGTAGAGTACATGGAACACTGGACCTAGAATCAAAAAGATCTGACTTCAACTCTAACCACAGATACTTACTGGGCAAGTCATTTAACCTCTGCCTGCCTCAGTTTCCTTATTTATAAAATGGGGATAATAATAGCACTTACCTTCCAGAGCTGTTGTGAGATTAAAATGAAATTAGTATTTGTAAAGCATTTTGCAAACCTTAAAGTGCTGCGTAAATGCTAATAAGTATTACAAGACGGTGATACCTGACAGTTGTCATTAAAAGAAACATTTCAAGATCTTTGTATTGAAATTAATTTATGATATTTTCAATAAAGATCTGATTTACTTTTTAGTAGTAGAAAATATAAGTGAGAGAACCAAAGATTTTTATTTGTTTTCCCAGGTAAAAAAATAATGTAATTATTAGTGATCATTAAGTAATAACGGGGCAGCTAGGTGACAAGAGCAGTGGGCTGGGAACCAGGAAGACTCACCTACCTGAGTTCAAATCCAGCCTCAGACACTTACTAGTTGTATCTTACCTTGGGCAAGTCACTCAATCTCTGTTTGCCTCAGTTTCCTCATATGTAATTTGAGCTGGAGAAGGCAATGGCAAACCACTCCAATATCTTTGCCAAGAAAACCCCAAATGGGGTCATGGAGAGTAGGACATGACTGAAACAACTCAACAACATCAATTAATCAGTAGTGATTATTATTATTATTATTTTTATCAAAAGCATTTGATCCAATCCTGAATATTTTCTTAAGGCTTCTACTTAAAAAAAAAGCTAATGATACAATCTAAAGACACTGCAGTGACCTACACAAAATATTCTTGGAAAACTTAACTCCGACCACAAAACCAATCTGTCTCCATTTTAATTCTTACGGAAAGCACATCCCAAAATCAATGCATTATTGTAATCATGGTAATAAATGTAATACAATATCACTTTTATTATGTTCCAGTGCTTAAAACATTCTTCATGTGCAGAGCCAGAATAATTAAAGATAGGAAAAGATCTGTTAGGAAGCTTTTTTTTTTAAATTTATAATGAAAAGATGGCAGGAGCAGGGGAAAGGAGAATTAAATTCGCTTTTATGTTAGAAGCCAAAGTCATCACTTTTATTCTTAGATTCTTAGTCCTGAAGATCTTTAAATAAAGACCTTTTCTGACAGTTCCTTCCCCTTATTCAGGCATGGAAGAAATGCTTATTTCAGCCTTTTGTCATCTTATGAACACAGGAGGCCTTACTGTCCCCAAGTTTCCTCTTCCCCCTGGCAAATGTTCTTCTCTCCTTTCCTTACCCCTTCCTGACTTTCGCTCTCAGCTCCACATTTGAAAATTCTAAACATTTTCAGAAAACAACAAAAAACGAAAATAAGACCCCAAAGAAATAAATAAATAAAAAGCAGTACTCAATCCTGGGACAATATGTCCCAGTTACTGGGAAGTCTGAAAGTTGAATTTCAGTTATTTGCTCTAGGCCACAAAGGAAGCCCCTGCATGGCTATAATCCGAGCTATATGTTTCCTCTCTGAAGTCACGAGTTCCTGAACAGAAGACGGGCAGGTAGATCACAGATTTCAGGCTCAGTAGCACTGAGTACGCATCTTGTGTTCACGTGCTCACTTTTTCGTCGGAGGAAACTGCTGGAGTTGGGAGGTGGCGGGAGACGGGTGATTTGCTGAGCT